GAGAGAGAGAGAGAGAGAGAGAGAGAATGAGAATGGATGATCTGTTCAGATTTGGGAAGAAGGAACGATCACTAAATCAAATATCCTGAGGTAGAAATTGTGAGACTGAACATTGTCATCTATTCTTCTATTCTCTGTTTTCCGAGAGACACTTGTCTATTTATTCCACAATCAAACAAGACTGGTTAAAAGATTTTAAAATTCATTTGTGCACACACACGTGCACTTCTCACATTTTTACATACATACAGTCACATATATAAAAAATTTGGACAAAGATTTCAGTGTTCACAGTTAGAAAAGTTTTTTTTTTAATTTTAAGTACTTAAATTAATGAATTTGTGTGTGTGTGTGTGTGTGTGTGTGTGTGTGTGCATACATGCATGAAGCACACCAGAGGTCAGAGGACAACTTGCAGAAGGCAGTTCTCTCCTTCCACCATTTGGGTCCTGGGGATTAAACTGAGGAAGTTAGATTTGGCAACAAATGCTGAACCATCTCATCTATCCAGACCCTGTGCCCTTGTTTTTAATCTTGATTAAGAAATTAGTGTTTTTTTTTTTTTTTTTTTACATGATAGTGGTGATTTGGCATTATGAAGCAATTCAGGTTAGGTCATGTAGCTTTACTTCTGTAGTTGGAGAATATACTGTTTCTATGGATACTAAAACATAGATAAGTTGATGCCCATATTCAGTTTATAATCTTTATCTGTTGGCAGATAGATTTTGTAGAAATTGCTATGAAGTAATCTTATAAGTAAAGGTATAAAAACCATTTTTGAAGATTTATAAAGAAACTATTGCAAGAGTTACATTTTGCCTAAGGTTACTTTTATGTAAATGTTACTAAATTTACTAAATGTCATTAAAGTTACTGTTTAATCAGAGAACTCTCGGGTTCTCCATTGCGACTCGCTTATCCTGGAGGACCAGGAAGGACATGGGGGATCTGATAAGGTTATTCCTATGTGCCTTAATAGCTTTGATGGCAAAGTCTACAGTCTTTGGCTAAGCTGTAGTTATTTATTTATTTTTTTGCTAGACTTCATCATTTCCATCAAAAGGGAACAGTTCATAGTTACATAATGAGTTCATTTTTTTTTCAAAACCTGCCTTGAGTTTGGGTTAATAATTAATACATTTTGACATAAGAAAGGCCTCTCTGCTCCATTGGACTACTCTGTGGAGTTCTGAGAAGTCCTTTACAGTATCTAAACCTCAAGTCATTGCAATCAGCACATTAGAACGAGACTCACAATTTGTAACCAAAGGCACTTCAGGGATCGGGTGTGTTTTCTAATGGCATGCACTTGAGTGACATGTCTGAAGTCCTAGGTTTAGACATCAGAATTCCCAAACAAAACCCAACCCAACAGAACAAAACAATGCAATTGAGGAAATTTGTGGAAGAAGAAGCAGAGGTTGGGGTTGTGGGGGTGCTGACTTTCACAGTGTCTTTAGCTATCCAAACAGAAACTGAATGGCGGTTAGACAGAAATCCAAGTCTGAATTTCCAGGGAGGGTTCCAGCCAAGACACTGACTTGGAGTTGATGTATGGCAGATGTTTAGTCTTGAGACTGGATGAGCTCATGTAAAGACTGGGGAGAGGGTGTGTATCTAAGGCAGATCTCAAGATAACTCCAACTTCTAGAAGCCAAGAGATAAGGAAGATCCAACGAAAGAGCTCTAGATCGAACACCTTAGGATAAGAGAACCAGGATGCTGAGGTGGTTTAGCAGCAAGTCAAGAGGCCTGGGAATGGGAGAAGTCTGCTGTCCAAGGCCCACTAATCAGGCAGAGACCTGACCAGAAACACAGACGTGGGAAGAGCCTTTTTGTTCCCTTTCAGCCTTTCACTGTTGTCTCCAGCAATCTCCTTAACCCTCTATCATCTGCAGCAATAATATAACACAGTCACCCTGGAGCTTAGGAGCGCACCAGACAGGTGCAGCTTTGCAGAAGCTCCTGGTTTGTTGTGCCAACTAGCGTATCATCAAGCACAGGGTCATAACACACATCAGAGGAGGCAGGCAAGGCAAACTTCCAATCCCCAGGCTCTGCTATGAAAACTTAGGTAGGTTTGTGGCACAGCTGTGTTTGTTAGTGCATATAAAGACTGAGGTAGAAATAGAAGTTGTTGGAAGAGGGTCAGTGCAGCACCGCAGGGAAGACTTTCGTTTACATGCCCACTCCAAACATCAGACTTTTCATTTGTGAACTGTAGTCAAATAGGCTTCGGACAAGTGACTATAGAGAAGATGAATGAGAAAGCCCTTCGGATGTATTTTGTTGAGGTCTAGCACATGTGAGTCAGTGTAATTTAATATTTTTGCTAATAAGTCATAATGGAGGGTGACTGTGAGATCCAGAGGCAACAGAGCAAATCCAGAAAGGCCTTGTCTTAGTTTATTTTCGAAGCTGCTGTTATAAACACCATGACCAAAAGCAATTTAGGAGAGAAAAGGGTTCATTTTAACTTACAAGTTATAGCCCATCTTTTAGGAAGTTTGTTTAGGAATATCTGTTACCCAATCTACATGGGAGGTCGCAGCAGGAGAATCATGAGTTCGAGGCTAGCTTGGGCTACATAAGGAGACCCCTTGTTAAAAGAAAAAGAAAGCATTTCTATATATTCTTCTATTTCAGGGCAGGAACTCCAGTAGAAACAATGGAAAAATTCAGTTTCCTGGCTTGCTCACTGAATCCTTCTTAGCTAGCTGGTTTATACAGCATAGGTCTATCTGCGTAAGGATGGTGCTGCCCATAGTGGACTGGCCCCTCATATCAATTAGTAATAAAGAAAGTGCTTCATACACATGCCCACAGAGCAATCTAATGGAGGAATTCTTCAAAGGAGGTTCCCTCTTCCCAGGTTACTAGATAGTGTCAAATTACAATAAAAACTAACCAGGACAGACTCCCTAGATAGTAGTCATTTGAAAAATCAAAGATATAAAATGTCATGAATGTTCACTTTCACTGCCTCCTACCATTTAACAGTCTTGTGTTTATGTCTCCATATTCCTTAGGACTATATTTTTTCTTAGCAAAGAAAATCTTATCTCAAGTGTGTATGCCACTGAACATAGCTACATAAAAATGGACTCTGAGCCAAGTGTGATGGTCATATCTGTTACCCGAATCTGTATGGGAGGCTGCAGCAGGAGAATCATGAGTTTGAGACTAGCTGGGGCTACATAAGGAGACCCTTTGTTAAAAGAAAAAGAAAGCATTCCTATATATTCTTCTACTTCCATCCCAGGAGAAGCTCTTTGAGCCTCAATGTCTTTATATGTAAAATTAGGGTGATAGTATATCTTACTTTGTAGTTCTGAGGATTAAACATTAAGGTAATTATTAAATACTCAAAATGGTCCCTGGTATTTAATACTTGTACAGTGTTGGTTATTATATCTCTACACAACTCCATGTGGTAGGTAAAGTCCCATGCCATCAGTATGACACATTCTCCTCAGTACCACATCCTGCGTCTCCTTTCCTCATCCTTCACACTCCCCTCCTCTTAGCACCCAGATGCTTCTTTAGGTCTGAGGGCTCACTGCTTATGCTCTCCCTTCCTGTGTTTTCCAACTTCACTGTTTGGTCCTATTAATTCCATCTAGATTTGGTTGAATGCTGTTTGCTCTATGATGCTTTCTTTGACAACCTTCCTGGGTAGCATTAGATGCCATTTCCTTGGTGTTCTCAGGAAAGCCTGTACAGCTCTGTATTGCCTGACACAGTGTTGTAATGTTCCCCTGACTCTCACTGAACTGTAAGAATGATAAATGGAAGGGCCACCTTCTACTTGTAGTTTGTGCCAAAGGCTTGACGCTATGCCGAGTGCTCAGCAGACATATAAGGAATGAACAGACGACTTAGCATCAACAGTTTTATAGATTATAGTGACTTGTAGTCAATCAGAAATAAAAAAGACATAAATTAAATGTCATAGTACTCATTATTTCTAATTATTCCCAGTGACTTCTGTAGTCCTACCCTAGAATAAATTTGCTTAATGTGAGAAGATGATTTTTTGATGTTTTCTGCATACCATATTCATGAGAGAGACAAGAGTAAATGTTTCTTAATGACAAAGTTATTAAAACTAGAGCTTTTATGGACATGATTTATCTTCTATGCATATATGATTTTACATCTGCAATATCCATTTCTATGTGATCCAGCAGAACCTAGAAATTGTTCTTCAAGATCTCTGCTTCCCCTGAAGTTGAGGTAAGATTGGAAT